CCCCCCTCCCTCCCCTCCCCCTCCCCAGGCGGGCACTCACGGCAGGCCTGGGTCCGGCAGCAGGTGGAGAGCACCCACAGGTTGGAGGAGCCGGTGTCACAGAGGACCAGGAAGTCCTGAGGAGGAGTGCCGAAGCTGGTTTCCCCGAGGTAGAAAGCCTTCAGGACTCGTTCCCTTGAGGACGCCACCTGGAGGAGAGGGGATGGAGTTGCCCCGGGAGGCCCCCTCCCCCCACCCCAGCAGCCTGGGCTGCTCTGCTCAAGCACTCTTTCTACCTTTTTTTCTTTTTTCACAGAAAATAGTCCATACGAAGACTGGCTCTCTGAGGGGGAGTGAGGGGAGAGACATCCTGGGAAATGTTGGCGATGAAAAAACAAAAGATGGTCTTTTTAAAACCCGACCCCTCGGGGAGTCAGAAGTGAGGAAAGGAATCCACGTAAAGGGTTTAAAAACGCCTAGGCTGGCCTGGTCGGTGTTTGGAGCCGATGTCCACTGCGCTCCCCTCTCCTCCAAGACCCTGCCTTTATGACCAGGGCCCCGGGTGCAGTGTTTAATAAACATGGATTGATCGGATCCTCCATCCCCCCCTTTTGTCCCTCAGTCAGTAAACGTTCAGGAAGCGTTTGCCATGTGCCACATATTGTGCTGAGCTCTAAGGATATAAAGAAAGGTAAAAAAAACCGTCCCTGACCCCCAGAGACCTCAAGAAGTCGAGACTCGGTTTCCATTTCTGTGAATTTACCACGGTGGATTTGGGGTTCGAAATGTGCCAGGCTCTAAGGATACACACAAAAATAAAAACCGCAAGTCCCTGTGTTAAGTCCCTGCCCTCAAAGGGCTCCCATGCTAGTGAAGGAGTGGCTGGGACCTGGTTTGCTCTTCTGTGAACATCTCAGGTGGATGGAACAGCTGGGGGAATGTCGCTTCTCCTTTCCCCAGATAACTGACCTGTTTGTCCAACCGTCCTGCCCACCGAGTTTTGTACGGATGCTCATGAATCGTTCTCCTGCCTCTCCCCATCCCGGTAGAGTATACTTTCATCCAGCCTCCTGAGTCTGCTCTGGCAAAAAGAATAAAGAAATCTGCAACGTGGTGTAGTGGAATGAGTCCTGTACTTAAAATCGGGCAGCCTGGGTTCAAATCCTAGCTTTGATACTAGCTAGTCAATCATTGACAAGTGGTTTAACTCCATTGTCTTCATCTATGCAATGGGGGGGGGTGAAAATAGCACTTGTGTTGCTTACTTAGGGCTGTTAGGGGCATGGTGTTTTGTAAACTTTAAGTCACTCTATGAATTGAATTATTTTTGCATAGATTTTGTACTTGCTAATTTTGCATGCGCTTCTATGTCTCCACCAAATGTGGAATGGAAGCTCTCAGAATCACAGAATTTGAGAGTTGGGAGGGTTCTCTGAAGCCATCTAATCCATCCCGTGATCAAAAGGAATGCCCATTATACCATGCTTGACAAATGATCCTCTAGTCTCTTTGTGAAGATTCCAAGGAGGGGGAACCTCCCACCTCTGGATTCAGCCCATCCCAATTTGCCACAACTCTAATTGTTGGGTTTTTTTTTAAAGGGGGAGGGGGGTTTCTGGCATCTTGCCTCTTTCCAACTTTGACCCAAAGCTTTTGCTTTCTGGGGCCAAAGAGTCTAATAATCTTTCTCCCGCATTTCACCCTTCAAATATTTGAGCACAGCTACCACGCTGATCTGAACACCTAACGGTCAGGGACTTGTTTCATTTCTGCCTTTATATCTCCAACACAATGTATAGAACGCCAGGCCTGGAGTCAAGAAGATGTGAGTTCAAATCCAGCCTCAAACACTTACAAGGCGTGTGACCCTAAGTAAGTCACTTAACCCTCTTTGCCTCAGTTTACTCATTTATCAAATGAGCTGGAAAAGGAAATGGTAAACCACTCCAGTATCTTTGCCAAGAAAACCCCAAGCGGGGTCATGAAGAGTAGGATACAACTGAAGCAACTGAACAATATGCTCAGTACCTACCACCTGAGCACTTAATAAAGTTATAAAGAACACTTTATTAAGTGCACTTAATAAATGCTTGTGCATTTATGATCACACCCCAACAAGTACATCTTCATGACAAACCAGTAACCTGGAAAATTGGTTTGGAGATAGAGGTCTTGAGAACAATGGGACACAAGGTCAGAGAGATCATGATGCACTGGCATGAGCGTTTTGTATTTTTCTAGATTTGAGAATGGTAATGGTCTGAGCCCTAGAATATCTCCCGCACAGATTGGCATCCTAGGCACTGGTCCTGTGTCTTCTAAGCAAGCTCGACCCTTCTGTTAGTTTTCAGGCTTTTGTTTCATATGCGCAAGACCATCTTTATCTCCATTATCCCAACAGTTCAGGGAAGTCACCTCACAATGGGGGCACCTAAACAAAACAAGATGGCGCCCAGAGAAGAGAGAGAAAGTTGGGAAGGGTGACTACGCTAAGCACTTCTCTCTAGGGCTGTCAGCACCACAGAAATGCTGCTCTGAATTCTAGGAGGAGCTGAAAGGAGAGTTAGAGTCTCTGGATGCTCCTGGAGTGGGGAAGGTAGCACTCACATTCAGGTAGTTACCGATAGGTTCATAAGCTACAGCATCCTTGTTGAAATGGTACTTGGAAGCTGGATCAGCTTTCTCGTTGTTCCTCAGAAAACCCTCCAATACACCATTCTCTTCCATCAGCTCACGGATGGACTTGCCTTTCTGCAGAATGTGTCTAGGAATAAGTGAACCCAAGAAACCCCTATCAAATTATCCCTTTGATTATCTGACCTGGGAACCGAAATCATACCCTCCTTCAAATCCCTGCATCACTTCAAGGGAGTCTTCTCATATTATACCTACCCAGCTTGAGCAATTCCAACATGCTCAGCACAGATTTACTCTTGGGTTTATAGAGAATTAAAGAATGTCTAAACTGGAAGGGACCTTAGAGATCATCTCTTACTCATAGGAGTTGGAACTAGAAGAGATTTTAGAGTTTATATAGGTCAACCCTCTCATTTTATAGGTGAAAAAAACAGACAGAGAAGACTTTCCCAAGGTCATCCAGCCAATTAGTAACAAATCCAGGACTGTAATCTAGGTCTCTTAATTAACTCCCAGTCCAATGCAGTTCTTTCCTTCATACTGATATTCATTTTTTCTGTATCTCTTTTGTTTCCGTCTCTAGGGTTGGAGGGCAGAGATCACATCTTTTCCTTTCATGGTTCAACACACACACACGAGTATGAAATCAACAGGGTAGGAGGCCATATTGAGAGATGGTCTTTCAGAAACATCTGAGTTTCTAGGCTGGACCTCCTCCTCCAGGTGTTGATCTCTGTTCTGAACCAAGCTAAACACCCAATACACACCTAACAAAGCCCCCTAATAGCTGCAGAAAAACCAGGGCAAGGGTTAAACATTTCCTGCTGCCTATTTTCAGTCACCCACAAAAAGAGGACACTCCAGAACGTTGTAAAGTATGAGGCGCAAGATAATCAAAGTGGTGCTCTCTCATATAGTCCAGGGTTCTTACTGAACCCTCAGCCTCTGGACATGTGGCCCACTCACCTCCATTCAAGCCTGTGCCCCCTCATATCCATTAATCCTGTGTATTTTTCCTAATGGTGGTTATTAAGGCCTTTCATTTCCACTGTTTAGTTAAGTTTACAAAGCAATTAATGGCTTTGATAATGAAATTAAACAATTAGGATTTGATATCAATAGTAAAGAACACTTGGCAACAAAGGAAAATGGCACCTGTGCCACCCTGGAGTGGGTGCTGCCAAATTCAATAGAAGGAAAGAGAAGCTTGTCTTTTGATCCCTAAGGATACATATTTTCCTAAGGCTTTACTGTCCTGATCTTCTTGGCTGCCTTTCTTTGCTATTTGTCTAGATATATTGTCAAGGTAGAGTCTAGAGTATATAGAGGAAGAAGAAAAAGAAGAGAAAGAAGAAGAAGAAAAGGAGGGAGGGAGGGAGGGAACGAGGATAGGAGGAAGAGGAGGAGAAGTTAATGCATCCCCAAAACAAAACACATAGGAGACAAAATTCAAGAGAGGATCCACAAGTAAAATCTTTCACTTAACAAATGCCCAGTTTATGCAACAAACAAGGATCTAAAGGCCCAACAAATTTGACTTCATGGGTATCACTGAGACTTGGAGGTACAAAATCCATGACTGGACTATGGTTCTTGATGGGTATATCTTATTGAAAAAAAAAAAAAAAAAAGACAGGTAAACGGAAGAGGTTTGCATTGAATATTAGGGAGGTATACTTACACGAGAAAATCCAAGAACCAGATTGGGGAAGTATGTCAGAGTATTTGGGCGAAGGTCAAAGAAAGGAGATAGAGAAGTGATTTTGTCATTGGAATATATTATAGACCACCTAGACAGAAAGAGGAAATAGATGAGTTTGGTAAATAGATTACTAACCTGGTATAGAGGCACAATATAGCAGTAATGGGGTACTTTGGCTATTTAGATTTCTGCTGGTAATCTTTCTCTCTCTCTCTCTCTCTCTGTCTCTCTCTCTCTCTCTCTGCCAAAAGCAGAGCAGCTAATAACTTCTTGTCTTTCCTTAGTGAGTATTTCATCTTTCAAAATGCAGAGGAACTAACAAAGGGAAATTTTATTCTGTAACTAATTCTCACTAACAAAGAGGAACTGGTTATTGGGATGGAAATGAGCCTGGGGGGGAGGGGGGAATAAACATTCCAATTCTGAGTTTGTGATAGAGTAGGAAAGAAAATCTGGGAAGGGTCTGGAATGAACTGGAAATTTGAGAAAGCATATTTCAAAGGGTCCAGAGAAAGAATAAGTAAGATGAGGACCAGCCAAGATGGTGGAGTAGAAGGAAGCACTATAACCCAGTTCCTTCCCCACAACTACTCCAACAATGCTATAAGAAGAACATCAGGCCAAGGAGTGATTGAGAAATAGAAGGAAAACTTAGAATACATTATCATTTGAGCCCAGCATCACAAATTTAGACTATAAACAAGTGATCAGGGAAGGAACCATGGAACAGAATTGGGCTTAACTCACAGCCTTAGTGCCCAAAGCCCTGAACAAATCCAGGAGTATGAGGACACTCACAGCTGATCATAGGCTCAGCCCCAGGACAAACTCAAGGTGTGTATGTATGAAGATTGGAGGGTTGGGGTCTTCCAGAACAGACAAGAATTTAGATTCAGTGTCCAGGGGCTTTGAGCTAGGCCATCAGTGCCTAGATGCCCAGAGCTTATCTAAGATTCAGTCCCCAGGCCAGCCCAGTAGCTTGGGGTTTCCCAAAGGGGGAAAAATTAAAATTCTGCAATGGGTCTTTAAAGAAATGGATAGTCTGAGTCATGAGAGCAATAAGATGGAGGACTAAAGGGATTTTCTCTGATTCCCCACAACCTCTCAAACCTCTCCAAAACAGAAATTATGCACCAGAGATAAAGCAATTTCAGCTGTCTTTATGGTCTAGGACAGGGGTAGGGAGACTGCAGCCTCAAAGTCACAGGTGGCCCTCAAGGTCCTTGGGTGCGGCCCTTTGACTGAATCCAAACTTCACAGAACAAATCCCTTAATAAAAAGATTTGTTCTGTAAAACTTGGATTCAGTCAAAAAGATGCACCCAAAGAGCTAGAAAGCCACATGTGACCTCAAGGCTTCAGGTTCCCCACCCCTGGTCTAGGAAGAAAGAAAAATAAAAGAACCATGAATTAATGCCAATCCTGAGTTCATCCAGCAGCCCTCCTCTACCTTCCACATTACTGAGATGCTGCACTAGTCAACTGAAGGACCTTGCACACAAGCTTGCAACAAAACCCAAATTCACATCCTGTCCCCGCCCCCCCCAACTCCAGGCTGTGAAAGTTTACTCAGACCATGATGGATAGGCAGTGCTAAGCAGGACTCCAGGGCCCAAAAGCCTGCTGGGCCCATACAATCAGCCAGGACCGCAGCAACTCTCCAGGGTCAAAAGCTCACTAGGCTTGCAACAGACAGTGTTGTGGCAAGCAGTGGTCTGTGCTGCAAATATCTTTGCAGGATTGCAGAAGAACAGAGGGAAAGGAGAAGGATATGTGCCTGGGCTCAAAATAGAACTCAATACCACACCACACGGACCTCACCTCCCAGAGCCTTGGACACTCAAACTACAGAAATCACTCCCATAACCCCAGTGCTTCAACACTTTGAACTGCTTATATTGAGATAGAGGACTGAGGAACAGAAGGAGCAGAATAAGACACCAGGAGAGCACATGGTGTATGGGGGAGAGGGAGCAGGGATGGGTGCAATTGACTCCAAAAATCTTGAGGAAAAGAGCTCAGCATCAAGCTAGGATCATTTTTGTCCACCCAAAAGATAACTGGGGCAAAAGCCTAGGCTGCTGAATTGTAAATTGAAGTGTTGGAAGAGGCCAAGAACCTTTGAGACCCAGCCCCAAAGGAAATCACCATCAAAGAGGAGGGAGTCAGAAAGTGAGTAATAAGGGAAAATAAGTTGGAGTTGGGAAAGACTGAAATTACCAAAGATTTCAGGAAACAGATAAATAAAAAGGAAAAACATTAACAACAGAAGAAGATGTGGCCTCTAGGTCTAGTAAACGAGTTTAGGCATCTATAAATAAATACTGCAAAACAAAGAAAAACAATTCCAACACTTAACGAGACAGAGAATCTTGTGGAATGTGAAGAGAGTCTGGAACCACAATATGCTGATTGTGAGTGGTTCAAAAGAGAAATGAGCAAAGCCAAGATGGCAGAGTCATAGCAGTGACTTTCTTGAGCTCTCCCTCAAACCCCTCAAAATACCTATAAAAAATGGCTCTAAACAAATTCTAAAGCAGCAGAACCTACAAAAAGACGGAGTGAAACAAATTTACAGCCCAAAACAGCCTCGATGGTTAATCAGAAAGGTATATTGCGCCAGGCTGGAAGAGGAACACAGTTCAGCATTGATGCGAAAAGACTGGGCCTCAGTGACTGGAGAAGGCCACAGAGGACTGAATCATGGGCAGCTGTGGTGGTTTCCAGGCTTCTCAACCCATGAACACCAAAGACAACTTAGGTCAGTGGGAAAAGTCTGTTCTGCGGTGAGAGAGAAGCTAAGTCCCAGCCTCATTCCCTAAGCTTGGCCCTGGGGCAGCAGCTGCTTCCTGAGCTTCTGGCCCACAGACTGAGGGGGAATCAAGTGGATGATCAGAAGGGAATTGCAGAGATCTCTCTGCTGCTGCAGGATTCTCTTACTTTGCCCGTGCTTGGATCGGGGTGGTGGTCCTGGAGCAAGGAGGAGCACAGGTGTGGTGGAGCTTGTAATGGCTGTGGAGAGGAAATCCTCCTCACAGTTCCAAGACAGAAAAGAGTATCTGTGATCACTCATAGATCAGAGCACAGGCCAGGAAAGCAGTAAACACTTCACCCTTGATCACAGCACCTTGGAAGAACTGAAAATTTACAGGTCCCTAGAAGTACCTCTGAAAACAGCTGCACAAAACCCCTGAAGCTTGGGACAGTGCATTCTCCACACTGGAAGCAGATCCCTATCTTAACAAAGAGTTTATAACTCAAGTAATTGGCCAGGATCATGAGCAAGCAGCACAAAAAGAGTCAGACTATATTATCTTATTTTGGTGACGAAGAAGATCAAAACACACAACCAGAAGACAACGAAGCCAAAGCTCCTACTTCCAAAGCCTCCAAGAAAATATGAATTGGTCCTAGGCCATGGAAGAGCTCAAAAGAGAAATGGGAAATATGAGAGCAGAATTTATGGTCTGCACAGCAAAAATAATGGGCAGAAAAGAAAAACTGGCATCTGCATTAGCAAATCTCTCCAAAGAAACGAAAGAGAAAACAATAGATTGGGAATGCAAAAACATGGAAATGAAGGGTGATCTGGAAGAAGAGAAGCAAAAAACAGTAACACTAAAAGAAAATATGCTTACTATCCAAGCAAAACATACTGATTCCAAAGGCAGGATGCATAGAGACAACCCAAGAATCATACGTCTTCCAGAAGATGAAAAAAACGTGAATACCATAATGTAAGAATAATGCATGAGATTCTAAATGCAGAAGATGAAATACCAGTTGAAAGAATTCATAAATCATTTCCAGGAGAGAAAAAAAAAACCTCAAGGCTACAAACTTGAAGACACGTAGTAGTTAAATTTAATAATTCAATTCAGAAGCAAGTTCAGTAAGTGATCAGGAGAAAGGCTTTCAGAAACAAAAGAAAGGAAAGTCGAATAACACAAAATTATTCTGCACTCACCAAAAGACACAGGAATGAAATAATGTGTTCCAAAGATAAATGAAACGGAGTATGCAGCTCAGGGTAAACTACCTTGCCAATGTGAACTTAATCATAAATGAAAAAAGATGCATGTTCAATAATAAAGAAATGTTTGAAATATTCTTAGAAAGAAAATCAGAATGGAAGAGATTATTTGTTTCTCAAACACACCAGATAATAGAAATGTAGGAGATGTGCATAAATGCAGTAACCAAGGACAGCAACAGCAGCAGAATGACAGCAGAGAGATTTTGGTTGTTCAGTCATTTGCAGTCATGTCCAA